CAAGAGCAGGTTCAATTGAAGCATCGTAAGTAACGTCATTGATAGCAGCAGCATGTAGATCACGGATCTCATCATGTCTTCGATGGATAAAGCCTCCTTTCAGGCACGACAGGGCATGATCTACCGTGAACGATTTTCCACAAGCGCAGAAAGATGGAAGGCGTTTCAAAGGCCATCGATAACGCATGTAGATTGCATCAAAGAACTCACGCTTGGTCAAGATGTAGCCCTCATCAGCACGTGGCAGAGCTGTTAGCCAAGCTGAGGATCCTTTCAACTGGGCGAGGTCATTTGCTCGAATCTGCTCTTCACACATGCACGATCATAAGTTCTGTAGCAGCAACGAGTTGCTAGCTTGACGTTGTTTTGCAATCTCACGACGAAGATCGTGGATAGAATCTCCATGTTCTGTTGATGGTGTACCATTCTGGTGGATGATTCTACTTGAGATAACATGACAGATGGTTGTGGAGTTTAAATGTTCTTCATCACAGATGTTATTAAAGATTGGAATACCAAGACCTCCCATACGAGCTGGAAGCGAAACTAATTGTCGCTCATGGATGGACAAGCTACGGTTATCGAGGAGCGCAGGAAGGAGCTTCAGGTTGATAGTGTCGTCAACAAGCTGCATCGCGGTCTTGATACCTGGAACGGCACGAATGTGGTAAGTAAATCTGTGCCGAAAACCTGAGACAAACGCCGTGTATGCTGCTTGGGGTTGGAATTTGGCAATTTCACTAAAAACGTGAAGCTGCTGGCACCATTTACTAACTAAAGAACTAATATACTTATCTTTTCCGTCATCCGATCCAAGACATCCTCCAAGGTACTAATGCCCTTCACTTGAAATTCGTACATTAGTTCGAGCGAAGATCTGAATAGCAGTCTGCTCCAGGTGTGGCTTCACAATCAACCAGGATTTATCAGCTCGCGGATAGTATCCAAGACTGCGACCATGCACGGCAATCTCCTCCCACCAGTCACGCAGTTGCATTAGCTTATCTGCACCACTAAGGTCATCCGCGTACGCAACATGCCTTACATCACTAGCTTCATCAGATTTAATCATGAGCAGGAGTGGAGTAATGGCAACGGCATAACTAACGGATCACCTTGCGTGGTACATTCCGCTGATGCAATTTCTTTACCACCTTGCACGAACAATCTTGAAGCTGTTACATAACAGTTGAACGTATAAACAGCCATTGTGGGACAAATGTACTGAATGTTATGTAACATTATCTTGCAGTTGATGGAATTGAACGCATTGGTGGCGTCCACCAGTAAAACAGCATCTGTTTCTTCTTCTTTAGAAATCTTCGACATGGCGTGAACAGCAGCCTCGCAGCCAGATTGTTGTCCTGCACATAGTCTCTTTTTTCTTTTTTTTTATTAACTTAACAATCATATGATTGATGGTAAGGACAACAGAACGTTAGTTCCTATTTAAGTCCCACCAAAAATTACATTGACATTATTACATAATTACTATAGTTATTACGACATTAACATACATATACATATAAAGATACAAACAAAGTTATATAGGAAATGCATTTACGAACAACAGTTTGACCCTAAAGAACGACACTTGCTACACAGTGTTTTCCAAGTTCTAGCGCGGTCTACATCGAAGGTATTGATCAGTTTGTTCGAATAATATGTATATAGTTTAGATTTCAATATGGAGACTGTAGAGGATGATTTGATCTCTGAGGGCAAATTATTCCATAAAAATACAATTCTGTTAAAGTACGAGTTTCTGAATAGAGAAGTTTTACACAGATTTGGACGAAGAAGATTACCGGAGCTCGAGCGAGTGGAATGATGGAGAGGCTGTGCAATGAGCTGGTTGATATCAACTTCGAATAACCCGGATTTGCATTTGTAGAAAAAGACGATATCTTTCATTTCATGCCAATAGGAAAGAGGGATTAGATTAAGCTTTTTCAATCGATCAACGTAGGAGGATTCATATTTCATAGTCCTGGAGAATAAACTTGGACGCTCTACGTTGGATACCTTCGAGTCTGTGCAGATCAGCACACGATCCTTGAGGTGCCCAGATTTCACAACCAAACGACAAATGAGAACGAACCAGTGACAAGTACAATAGACGGCGAGTATGAATGTCAGTAAGGTGGAAGCAATTCTTTCTTAGAAATCCAAGCATTTCATTGGCTTTACTGACAATTTGACAATGTACCTGAGACACCTTGCTGTTCAAGTTTCAAAAGAAGATGTTGATGCGAAACTGAATCAAAGGCTTTCGAGAAGTCTAAATAAACAATGTCCGCTTCATTTCCTGAGTCTAGGGCTTTACCGATGTCATGGAAAACACCAAGAAGTTGAGTGGTACAAGAGCGTCCTTTGCGAAAACCATGTTGCAATTTGTTCAGCGACGATTTGACATAGTTAGACACGTGAATGTGTACAACTTGCTCAAAGAGTTTAGACAATAGGGACAGCAAGGAAATAGGTTGGTAATTGCTGACATCATTGCTGTACGTCTCATGCGCTATCCATGATTTGTGGCTTGATGTAGATCCGTCGTAGAACATTTCCAATCCCAATCGGTCTGACGCCAGGGTTCTTGTCCAGAGGTATTAAGCGACACGCTAAGAAGGCTTCTAAGCTGGTGGTCTGATCTGCTCCAATAACGACCTCCTGGGTTGGGACCTCCCTAGGCCTTTGCCAGCATCTCCATAGTTGCGAGACACCAAAATATGCCGCCATCTAAGTGCATCAAGACCTGAAGGACCAGCAGCACCTTGAGTCATCAATGCTGCTTTTGCTATGGCTGCCTCGTCAATGTTGGCGATTAACGATGGATCGACATACGGAATTTTACCATCAATCATGATGGAATGATCCTCAGGTTGTGCAGGTGGATGTTTCTGCAAGAGGTTCTTGTACACAGCGTTATTAAGAGGAAGAACTCCACCAGATGATTGTTCATCCAACAAACGTAGAGCTGCGTTCACTTTGCCACGAAACATGAGACTAGCGAAGGTCTTGGAAAGCTGTTCATTCGAAACCTTTCTAGTAGCCAGTCGTATCGACTGGATGGTTCTACATTCCCGAAGTAACCCATCAAAGTTCCCTTGTTGCCACAAAGCCATGCGCCGAGACAGACAAGTCACATGGTCTTTCGATCTCGATTTGAAACTCGGTTTTTGCAAGAGAAGCAGGCATGATCATAGTAAGAAATATCATGCAAGATCTCCGAGTAACTGTTCCAAGCGATAATCAGTCTCTCCAGTTCCCTGACGTATAACTATCCAGCAGCTCTACTAGGCAACATAAACAGATTTTTGCGCCAAAAAACCAACTCTTCATAGGCTGCGTTAACAACTTGCTTCAGATCGTCTTTAGTGAGGCTGCCGCAAACACATGGTGATCCGCTATTTTGAAACTAGGCATACCTGATGTTTCTGCATCTTGTTGACGCTCTCCAACTGTTGCGTGTTTTTTTCTGCAAGAATTTAAATGTAGCGACCGTCCTCGTTCCGAATCAAATTGTCTCAGGCACAAATTACATTGGAAAACGCGTTCACCGTCTTTGTTTTCTTGCGACATAGATTCTAATTAGCGCGTGCCGACTCGTAGTCAACAATTGAAAGTCGAATCACGTTGCACGCGGTTAACGGAAAAACGAGCACTGATGTACTAGTAACAGCCAAACCCCAACAAATACCAAAATAAATTGAGCAGATATTCCAAATTGATAAACAGGATGTCTAGTTATCACAAACGGATGTATTGTTCAAAAGTAATTCACCAATCGCTGTCTACTTGCTACAGATCCTATGATCTTAGTCGATGATTAGCGGCTAACTCTTCGAGAATGTCACAATTATTTACACGAAAACACTCATACAAATAACAAAAAAAACTTCCACAATGTTAACGAAAACCTTACTTGTAATAATATGTGATAATGTTTCCAAATCTGATACAAAAAGTGAAATAAATTTTAAAAAAATTGCGGAGCACTATTTTTAGCGTCTTTACACCATAGCGATCGCTGACCCCCAAAAGCGAAGTACGCAGCATATAATTACGTAAAATCACGTATAAAGTTACGCACGAAAATGTGATAAAAATGAATTTTAAGCATAATATGAAATTACAAATTTTACTTTTACAAATATACAACAGTAAATACATATACAACAATTAAATAAGGTTAATTCATAAAATAATAAGGTTAATAAGGTTAATTCATTCATTTGTAATTTCATATTATGCTTAAAATTCATTTTCATCACATTTTCGTGCGTAACTTTATACGTGATCTAACGTAATATGCTAGCGTCATGAACCGTACTACGAACACTAAGTAATAACGAACTCTAATTGAACTTGAAAATGATGTAAAGATGACATCGAAACGTCGTTCTAATAAAATAAATTTGTTATCGCTTTCAATTGTATCAAAGTGTATTACGAAAGCTTTCCTTATTAAAAAATTACTATATGCATAAATCAACCTACCCCCCGGAAAGTTTACACACTGACTGCATGACTTACTGACTCGTTTGAATTTTCGCCACTCATCACAACACTGCAAATTATAATATAGCTTTAGGCTCGTTCATCTTTTCACTAAAAAGATGAACGAACCTTAAAAAAAAGTAAAGCTACAAAGCTCTGTTACAAAAGTAATACTTTCGAAATAATATATACTGTACTACGTGTGGCATTTGTGCGCAGTTTTTGAGTGGTAAAACATTAATACAAAAGTGCTAAATTTTCTGGCCCATATTTTACTATCTCGCAAACAAACAACTATCTTGTAAACCACACACTACTATCGTCAACAAAACCTACAGTTTCGTACATTATAAATGCCTCTACCTTACAACAGCCGCTGTTAGTGTTGGATTTCGTTCTTTATGCGAAATAAAAATTTAGTCTATATATGTATTTTTACAAAAATCCAGGTGAACAATGTGTCCAAAAAATGAAAATCTGGTACCCACAGCCTTTCTTACCTTGTTTGTCAAACATGCTTTGAATTCTTGATCGTAGGTCTTCATCACAATTCGGCACTCGGGCACATATGACCTAAACAACAACTTTACCATTACAATAGGTCTATACTAAAAGTTTTATTAAACAAATAAGCAGTGTATTGTGCAGTTGATGAACAGTGGATCGAACAACGGATTGTTCATGATGAGATGTCAATTCTCATCAGCCCACGATGAACAGGACATACAGAAGGTGTCACGAAGGGATTCGAGAGTCTCAAATTAAACTAAACACCCTAAATTTCGGAAGTTGACATCGTCTGAAAAGATCTATATAGGGACCAAAAACCTTTTGCATGGCGAGGACCAGGATTAAGCTTCTAGCTACGGCCTAACCTCGCAAGCCAGGATTTTCTACCTGTTTCGTCTATGTTTGTTCAACCCAGGGACATGGTACGAGGTTGATGTTTGCTTTGACGGAACCAAAGGTAGTTTAATTCAGTTGTTTCCTAATAAACCTGGTATGTCAAAGTATACAGATGGTTTCTCCTGTAAGCCGCATTGAGTAACTATAAAGTAGGCCTAACAACATAGAAGTATTTTTATAATCAGGATAGACAGTCGAAGTCAGATGTAAAACAGTGTATATCACTAGTGTATTGTTGTTATAATAAAAGTAAAGTATTGATGTAAAACCGTGATTAGCACTGATGTGCGCAACAATATTGCAAGAACCTGTTGCAAGAGCAGCATGCAATCTCGACACGATGAAAACCCATAATTTCCATGTAATGATCAGCTTATAGCTATGTACGCTATCTTTGCAATAGAAAATTCCCGAATTCGCTTGAGTGCACACAAAACAATAGCAAGACAAGGAAACCAGGTTGGCAATGTAATATTTTGTTAGTGAGATTGTTTTCATGGCGTGTCTATATTACGTGGACCTTCTTACAATCACAGGTGAAAACGTAAGTCATTTAGGGAAAGAGAATACAAATACGAAGTATGACGCAGAAGCTCATTTGTGGTAAAATTACTGCGAAACATTAACGGACAGATGTGTAATCTAACTTTTATCCTGTCTGCGCGTGGACCTTAACGCCGACACACACGATCCGGCAACGCGACGCGATTGTTGCAAATTTTTCAGTTTTCAAAATCAACTGTGTTTCATCTTACGATTACTGAATGATAGCACAGTTTCACCAGTCATATGCGTAGTTCTCAAAATTCCCTTCCAGAATTGAATTTATTTGCTTGTATTAAAAAATTGATAATTTGCGTCGCGTTGGCGAATCGCATCCAGTGTGTGTGGGGGGGGGGCTTTACAACAGAAACGAACGGACGCGAGAAAAACGTAAATAAATAATACAGATAAAAGTGCATATAACTACCTCTTCTGCTGTTCTTCTATCTTTGTTTAATACAGATCGTTCAACACCCGACCAAGACAACAAATATTTAACGACATCCGCTTTTCCAAATTTACAAGCAAAATGCAACGGTGTTTCACAACTCTATAAACAAAGTTGAAATGCTTTAAACTCTAACAACTAGTTAAGCAAGGCCGTCGCTGGTATTTTTGCACAAGTGAATATAACAAATCCTACATTCTGGTCAAATTTGTATAATACCGTTATATTCACCTTCAGGGATGTAACAAATTTCAAAATGGCGGCTAGCCGTTTTGTGGACGTTTCTTACAAAGAGATAAGCGAACAATAGACCTTTGAGGTGCTTACGTCATGTCGGTCTCGAACAATGAATCGCAATGCAATCTGGGAAACAAGTGGGACAAAATTGTATAGATAGAAAACTGTGACGTAAGCACTTCAGAAGGCTATTGTCAAATGCAGTTCTTATATATATAGTTGCAAACTATATATCCAAATTTTGTAATATTTGATTGATTTTATTTTATTGCTCTATTTAATTTTGATATCGAGCACTCTTTCTTCTTGGATACTTTTTTAATTATATATATATATATATATATATATATATATATATATATATATATATATATATATATATATATATATATATATATAATATGGTTTTCGTATATCGAAGAGTGCTCAATACTGTAAAGTAGAGCTATATTATAATCGCAGTAAAGAGAGAAAACTAAGGTTGCATAATTACTACAGCGCTGTTTCGAAGGAGCAAGGTCCCTCTCATCAGGTGTATATAAGAATTTATTATTAACAAGCACGTCTTAAATACATCAGACTGTAATTTACATGATAGATAGAATCTATAAGTTCTTTAGAAGATATTTGCTAGCGTGACGGCATGTGCTTGTAAGTTCGTTCCTTTTATTAAGTGAGTATAAGTTTGTTTTGCGAATGATGTAGTATTTCTGAGGCATACGTTGCAACGCTTCGTGGCGCTTGAATACGGGGCGGCTCGTGCGATGATCTTCCAGCTTACTTTGAATGGTACTCCGTCATCCTTCAGGGAGGGACCAGATAAACTAGCTAAGCTCGGTTGCGTTCTGTTTGTTCTTGTGCCTAAATGACGCTGTATGATTTCTGTATCTGGATTTGAATTCATCACCAGTGAGACCAATATAGGTTTTTTCTCATTACTGCTCTCAACGGTTGCTTGATAGATTATGTTCCTTGTTTCCCCGTTTAAAGGGCAGTTAGCTCTGTATCTGCAGTTACAGGTTTTTTGCTCTTCTGGTGTAGAGTTGTTTTTTCGCATGACTAACTTGTTCTGGGCGCTGATCTTTTTCTCCAGGCTTGGCATACAGGAGTAACTGATTTTGAGTGTGTTGCGGTTGAACATTTTTCTTAGTGAGATGTTTCTCTCCAAAGGCTGAGTTCACGATGTTTAGGAACTTTTTTCCTATATCTGTGGCTACATGCTTGCTGTAAGATGGGTTGAACCATGTAACGTTTCTGCGTCGCTCTCTTTTTTTCTTGTTAGTCTCTCTTTATCTGTGTAGAAGTGTAGTTGGTAATTGTACCCGTTATCATTGAGTGCGTTTTGATAAGTTGGCGCTGCTTGGTCGAACGACGCTTTGTCTGACGATATTTCGTTCAGCCGTCTGTTAATGCTGAGGGGTATGTTCTTAATGATTATCGGCGGGTGGTTACTCTCGCTGTGGACGTACAGAGGCGTGTTGTTAGGCTTTGTGTACGGGCTGTAGGAGCGGTTGCGCAGATCTAGCGTCACGTCAAGAAAGTTACGGTTTTCTTATTCGCCTCGATAGTTGTCTTTAGGTTGTTGCTGCTGAAAACACTACAGATCTTTTTCTTAATGGTTTCTTTTTCCGGGGGTCTCACAGAATGCACCCAGCTTATCGTTTCTGTATAGACCTATTTTTCGTCTGATTTTGTCAGGGAGCTGGCATAACAAGTATGTCCCAACAAGTTCGCAAGTCGATCTCTGCGCCATCGAAGGAGCCCTTGGTCACATCGAACAGATTTGATGATTGCTTTTTTGCCCATGCAGACTTGTCCTCGAAGAGCAGTGATTGTTTGGCCTCCATGATGATATATTAGATCTATATTGGTGTGGGTGGCAGCAAAATCCAAAACTTTATTAAGCACCCACACCCATATACAGGGTGTCCCAAAAAAAACGAAAACTATTGAAATCACTCATTGTTAAAATTTGAATGCCGTGTTCACGAATTCCAGCCCGTGGGGATTTAATGCAACTTATGAAATGCTAAATGCTTTGTGTTGCTAGAGAAAGGGGACATGTCGAAGGTCATGGTTTTTGAGATGCACATTTAAATATTGTTATCCATATATTTGTAAATTGTAAATATTGTTAATAAATATAATTTTTGCGAACAAGCAAATTTGACTGCATCATATGCATGCATAAAAATGCTTATGCATGGCAACCCCGATTTATACACTTGTGGGCCCAACAGAGTGCTTAGGCATTCAAACTCTAAAAATGGCATTGTTATGGGTGATTTCAATAGTTTTCGTTTTTTTTGGGACACCCTGTAGATCTAACGGACAATGAGAGCAACAATGAGAAACAAACCTAAATTGGTCTCACTAGTGATGAATTCAAATCCAGATACAGAAATCATACAGCGTCATTTAGGCACAAGAACAAACAGAACGCAACCGAGCTTAGCTAGTTTATCTGGTCCCTGAAGGATGACGGAGTACCATTCAAAGTAAGCTGGGAGATCATCGCACGAGCCGCTCCGTATTCAAGCGCCACGAAGCGTTGCAAACGTATGCCTCTTAGGGCTTGCTTACATGAGCCCGGTTATCCGAGATTCAACGAAGCGTGAGAGGACTTTGAGGTATTGAAATAAGTCTTTATGACACCAAACAAGGACATGCTATTGTTTTGGTGATTATACGACTGCCAGGATCATGTTATCTGCTCATTTCAATACCTCAAAATCATCTCACGCTTTGTTGAATCTCGGGTAACCGGGCTCATGTAAACAGCCCCTTAGAGAAACACTACATCATTTGCAAAACAAACTTATACTCACTTAACAAAAGGAACGAACTTACAAGCACATGCCGTCACGCTAGCAAATATCTTCTAAAGAACTTATAGATTCTATCTTAGTTTTCTGTCTTTACTGCAATTATATATATATATACATATATATATAATATATATATAATATATATATATATATATATATATATATATATATATATATATATATATATATATATATATATATAATATAATCTTGGATTTGTGCGTAGTAAACCAGAGAGCTCAAGTTTTCTGTCTTTACTGCAATTATATATATATATATATATATATATATATATATATATATATATATATATATATATTTATTTACTAATTAATTAATACTTAATTAATAATTAATAATATTTACAAACATATATATATATATATATATATATATATATATATATATAATATAATCTTGGATTTGTGCGTAGTAAACCAGAGAGCTCAATACAAGTAAATAGTAGAGCAAAAACACAAACAAATCAACAAAATATAATCATAAAATTGTATTTCATCGCTACACTGTGTTTCACGTACTAGTTTTAGTACGATCCTCAGGCGATGACTATTTACAACCTTGTACGCCTCAATTGAAAGGCAAACTCCGTAACCTGAAAACTATGTTAACAACGACGAAACCAAGCTTAAAGGTATCGAAAAATATGTAAAACCAAGGCGAAAAACGGCATATAACTCGGCGAAGAGCTTTGTACTGCAAAAATACAAATATTGTTTTTTACATAGAGATTATAAATAACACTAGAGGGGTCATCGAGGAGAAATTGGGGAGCGCGTTAATGCGGGGCAAATTCAAGTCCTGGATGTTCACTCATTCACGATGTCCAAAGCCAAAATAAGTCGTTTTTAACGAGTTTTTTCGGTTTCTAAATGGTTTTCTGCCTAAAATATCATTTCAGGATGTCTAAATTAGTAAAACCAGTTTCAAAAAACACTGGTTTTTTTTAAAAAACCGGCAAAGCGACCTAAATAACGAATATAATCATAGGCGGCCCAGAACTGATCTCACTGACCTCGCGCAACGCTTATGTTGTCTGAACAGTCTTATATTATGACAAGGTTGGCAACTCTCACGCCAAATAAGCTAAAAACGCACGACGGTTGACTTAAACACCTTCACAAAACCGCAAATATTATGGCGAATAAGAAAAAAAAAGTACAACACATTAAACTTGAATAATTTTACTACATTTATACTATATTTTTAGCATTCAAATGTATTCCTATGCATGTATAAAACGTGAATGTTTTTTGGGTTTCTGTCAAATATATTTCAAAACGTATGCTGGGGACACCTTGCCTATACCTTCGTCATATTTTTAAATTGAGAATAGAAAGCTGATTGGCTCTTTTTAAACGACAACCAATCAGCTTTCTATTCTCAATTTAAAAATATGACGAAGGTATAGGCAAGGTGTCCCCAGCATAGGTTTTGAAATATATTTGACAGAAACCCAAAAAACATTCACGTTTTATACATGCATAGGAATACATTTGAATGCTAAAAATATAGTATAAATGTAGTAAAATTATTCAAGTTTAATGTGTTGTACTTTTTTTTTTATTCGCCATATTTTTACGAAATATTTGCGGTTTTGTGAAGGTGTTTAAGTCAACCGTCGTGCGTTTTTAGCTTATTTGAGAGTTGCCTACCTTGTCATAATATAAGACTGTTCAGACAACATGAGCGTAGCGCGAGGTCAGTGAGATCAGTTCTGGGCCGCCTATGATATAATTTTTTTAAAATTGTTGCTAACGTGGTTGCTAAGGAGGCATTGATCTAGCCAATCAGCGCTTGGCTTAGCATCCGGGACTTGAATTTGCCCCCCATTATCGCGCTCCCTTTTTTGACTGATGTTTCTGATACCAATGCCTCCTCTAGTGTTATTTATATTCTCTATGGTTTTTTACACAATAAGCCTCTTTCCATATTTTGCGAAGGCGCGGTTACTAAGTTTCTCCTGTACTTTTTTCGTAAGTGTGATTCGTCATGATTCGTCACTTAGCAAGTGCATTTTTTTGAGGTAGTCACGCCCCTGCCAATGTCTAAAATCAGCCCACTTTTAGTATTGGCAGGGGGGTGACTGCCTCAAAAAAATGCACTTGCTAAGTGACGAATCATGACGAATCACACTTACGAAAAAATAGTATAGAGTTCTACTTCTGTTAGGTATTCTGTGTCATTACGCTACAAATTAAGTTATACAATTGGATACTAGGCCCTATTTAAACATGCAACGAACATGACTCATATGAGGCATCTATCAGGTTGCTGTGTGGGAGTCAAAAACTAACGCTAAATAGAAAGCAATAAAGATAATTTCAAAGATTCAACTGTTTTTACACAATAAGCAAATACAGAGTTAGATGAGATTGTTGTAACCCCTGCAGCCCTATTTTGTAGTTTTTGCAGTTCATCGCTCAACGATGGCATCCTAGACAGAATGGGAAAAAATTTGGTGCACCAAATGGAATATGGGTGTGGGTGCTTGATGCACCTTATAGCTGTATTATATACATATATGCTCCTTCGAAACAGCGCTGCAGTAATTATGCAACCTTAGTTTTCTGTCTTTATATATATATATATATATATATATATATATATATATATATATATATATATATATATATACATATATATATATATATATATATATATATATATATATATATATATATATATATATATATATATATATATATATACCCGTGTTGGCCATGTAGCTCAGTTGGCAGAGCATCGGACTAGTAACCGAAGGCCGCGGGTTCAAATCTTGCCGTGGTCAAGTAGAATTTTCTGCTTGCCATTGCAGGCTGCTACTCGGTGTCATATCCTATTAAAATCCTTCCCTTTCCCGAGCACCATCCTCATGCAAATATATATATATATATAACACAGGATGAGAAACACGAGTTACTTCATCGAATTTTATTTACTACAGAGCTGTTTCGTATGACAAGCGTTAAGCTTGCCACACTCATCAGGTAAATAATATGGAGGTAAATAATAGTGTGGCAAGCTTAACGCTTGTCATACGAAACAGCTCTGTAGTAAATAAAATTCGATGAAGTAACTCGTGTTTCTCATCCTGTGTTATATCGCTCTGCGCAAGCATTGAGCACTCTGTCCGGACGATTTTGTATGCGTCAGTAATTATGCAACCTTAGTTTTCTGTCTTTACTTCTACTTTATATATATATATATATATATATATATATATAATTATATATATATTATATATATATAGCCTAAGCCCTATATATATAATATACAAGCCTAAAATGCATGGTCGACTTCCTTCCTATTGCTAGGCTTCAAACCTGGTTGGGTTTCAAATTGATAGGGCAATACCTCTTCTACTTGTTTTTGTGATTATTTTCATTTAAGTAATTGAAAAGCGCGAAATCCCTCACAAGAATTATGACATCGCGATTTGCAGGTATAAAAAATATTTGTTGTTTTGATCTCCCCTGCGTCTGACATCATCCAATTATCAAAAGATAATTTTTTTGAAAATCGGCCCAAGATGGCGGACAAATTAAATATTAATCATGAAATGACTCGAGAACAAAACATTTTGGGTAAAAAATAATCACATATTCATATACAGGAGGTCGAATATAACTGATAGCAAGAATAAAAAAATTTATCGCCAATACCCTTAAAAGGAGATAACACATGGGATTATCTGGTTTGTGGTGTGCCGTATGCGCTACCTGGGCGGAAAAAACTAATTTTAATAAGTCTGTTCTAGTGTAAGTGTTTTTTCAACACCGGAAATAAACTCCATATTATATCCACGTATGATTATTTATGTACAGGTTAGGGGAAAGGCACTATAGCTGTACCACTTTCTTTAAAAAAGTTTAGCAGATTTTAACAAGACATGCATCAATGCTGTATAATTGTTCAACAAATGCCTGACTGAGAGCAATGTCTTCAGAAATGTTATTACTAGAATTTTGAAAAAAATTAACTAATGTACTAAACAGAATTAGTTGTATGCATAACAGACATTAAAGATGTTTATATGGTCACTAATCAATGAAAATGCACCTAAAATTCATGCAAATGCAATGTAACTTCTTCTAAAACAGATAAAAGCATATTTTTATATGTGCATTATTTGGCCTTCCTATAATAACTCAATAATTTACTTAATTTGTACCGAATTTGATGGTTGACTATCTTGGATGAAAATCCAATCCATGTAATTTATCTCACACCCTTATATTGCTCTGAATCAGTTTTGACTGGCCAAGAAATAAAACACTTCATAAAAATAAACAGATGGGTGCAATTTGTTGGCAAATGATTTTATACTTTAGATCACTTTGCAATTAACACTCTGGGTACCAGATTTATCTTTAAAATCTATGTCTATGTAAAATCCTAAAAATCTATGTATTAGTTAAATTTACTTACTCCTCTGTCTGGTGTGTTTAGATACAAATCCAAAGTAAATGCTTTCCTTCTGTTATTTAGTTTTTGCCAACCATCTATTCCTTTTTCTTTGTTTGGATAGATTAGTTTCCAGAATTCATCATCATTAAGGGTTTTAATAATTAACTCGCAAATATCCTTCTGACCAGTTTTGCAGCAACATGCATGCTATTGTAATGACACCCTTCTTGAATGATGACAGGGGTATCAGCAGTGCTAATTAGATACTTTGGATTGCTATAGATTATTTTCGCAAGGTTATCATAATCACAGTTTTCAATAAGTTTGCGAAAACGGGTGATTTCTCCCCGTTTAGGTCCTTTGTACTCAGAAGTAGGTTCAGTCCATCCTGGTGACAATTCCTGAGAGAGGAGCCGAAATGATGCGTTTAGTTTACCAGATGCAAAAGCTTCTGCCTCCTCTCTTGTATCAAAAGCTTTAAGCCGAGCACCACTGTTCAATTTAAGACAATTAAGTGCTTCAGTCTTGTCTGTGAATACTGAACCACAACCACCAGTAGGTTCCACGCCATCTTTCTCTTTTTTATCAACTGCATATAGGCAAACCCCGTAGAATGTACTTACTTCTTGACAAGTTGCGCCTACGTTTTCTTTCGCGCAAGAACTATTAATACAAAGCGGGGGCTTATTCTCATCAAAAACAGTGTTAGCTATTTCACTAACTTCCTGGTTTAACGGATTTTTTACATCTGGTTTACAAGTAGTAGATGGTCTGGTAACTTGCGTATAGTCATAGAGGCCCATGGCTCTAGCAAGTTTCGTTTCAAATAATTTCCTTGTTGTTCTCGTTATAGGGCCATCGGGAAGATTAAAAGAGCGCAGCTTTGTTCGAAGTTGGTCTTCTGTTAGCAAAGCTATTCCAGATGCCATGTTAAATTGAAATCATTTATTTATTAAGGCAATGACTTGAAAGCGAAATTCATTTCACTGTAATGCAAAATGATACAAACCCATTGTAAAAATCTCATACAAACATGCCGCCATCTTTAATCTTTTGTGCTTCCACTTTAAAATCATGAACTTCCAGAATCCCCCAACACAGATTACAGGTTTACATGTAAACTAGAAATAAATTGTATGCAAAGTCCCCTCGCCTATATAATTATATATAATATATATTATATATATATATAATATAATATATATATATTATATATAATATATATATATATATATATATATATATATATATATATATATATATATATAAAGCTTCAAATCATTAAATCAAAAAGTAAAACATCATTTGAGAAGAAAAAAATATATATATATATTACGTTTCGGGGCACAGCCCCTTCGTCAGAAACTATATAAGATCCTCTCCATGTCATTAAATACCATAGCCCTAACATTATACAATTACTTAATGGTTTCCGTGTTTGGATGGCCTGATTTGGACACGCGGGAATGTTGCATTACCGCTGGCTGGAGATGGACAAAAGTGATGCCCTTAAATTAAACAAGGGAAATTTCGATAAATCCTTAACGCTTTCACCAGAAGCAATACATGATGTGAACTGGTGGTATACATCCATTTTAAACGCCTATAACCCTATAAGTCACGGTGAGCCACAGGTTTGTATCACAACCGATGCATCCCTCACTGGATGGGGTTGCTCACTTAACGACGTGAGTGCGGGGGGAAATTGGACCCCCACAGAAGCGGCGCATCATATAAATTATTTCGAGCTCCTTGCAGTCTTTTTTGCCCTGAAATCCTTCGCCTCACAAATCTCAGGGAAACATGTCAAACTGCTTATTGATAACACTACGGCTGTCGCTTGCGTAAACCACATGGGCACCTGTCATTCCCGCCTACATCATAGACTTGCTTGCGACATATGGAATTGGTGTATCGACAAGAAAGTGTGGCTGACCGCTGCACATATTCCGGGCATAGAAAATGTCACTGCGGATCGAGAATCTCGCGTAAGCCGCAGGGAAACCGAGTGGCAATTAAACAGTGAGATCTACTCAACTGCCATTCGCCAAATAGGTGCCACACCAAATATAGATTTGTTTGCCTCGCGCCTAAACCACCAAATAGAGCCGTACGTGTCTTATTAACCGGACCGACAACCGGACCCGTTTGCGATTGGCGTAAATGCTTTTTCTTTATCATGGGTAGACTATGATTTTTACGCTTTCCCGCCCTTCAGCATTATCCAAAGAGTTCTCCAAAAAGTCGTTGAAGAAAAGGCTTCTGGACTAATTGTCGTCCCTTACTGGCCTACCCAAACATGGTGGCCATATCTAATAAAAATGCTAATAACAAACCCGATCATTCTACCTAGGGGGAAAACGACGTTAGTGCTACCCGCTCATCCCACACAAACACATCCTCTACATCACAAACTGACATTGCTGCTTTGCCATTTATCGGGGAACTCCTCTCGGAGCGAGGAATTTCGCCGCAAGCTTCGAACATCATCCAACAGTCCTGGCGCACCGGCACCAGGAAACAATACGCAACATACCTCAACAGATGGCGACAGTACTGTTGTAAACGGAGTATTGATCCCATTTCATCGGCTGTGGAAAATGGTATAAACTTTCTCAGCGAACTTTACGATCAGGGCCTGTCTTACAGCGCTATAAATACCGCAAGAAGTGCTTTATCTACAATTTTATTGTTGCCCCAAGGAACTACTTTTGGCAATCATCCACTGGTCACAAGGTTTGTTAAGGGTGTCTTTGCGTCACGACCGGCCTTGCCTCGCTATACCGAAATATGGGACGTATCTATTGTGTTTAACTACTTACGCACCCATCATCCTGTGGAAGCTTTAAGCCTAAAAGACATCACTCTGAAAACCGTTATGTTGCTTGCCCTACTATCGGGCCAACGCTGTCAAACACTTCATGCATTAAGTATAACCAGCATGGAACGTAAAGAAAATAAATATGTCTTCAATGTGGATCAGCTTTTAAAAACCTCTAAACCTGGCAAACACTGGGGACGCCAGGAGTTTCTGGCTTATCCCAGCGACCCAAACCTGTGCATTGTAAAATGCTTAAACCACTACTTGCGGTTGACTGAACCTATTCGAGGGGATTCACCACAACTTCTGTTAAGCTACCAAAAGCCTCACCAACCTGTTTCCCGTGATACTATTGCACGGTGGCTAAAGAGCGGTATACAGAAGGCAGGCATCAATACTGACATTTATGGTGCTCATAGCACTCGGGCTGCTTCAACCTCTGCAGCACAAGCAATGAACATACCCATTCAAACAATCATCAATGCGGCTGCGTGGACAAATGAACAAACATTTCAAAAATTTTATTGTAAACCTATCACGCCTAGTAGCAACTTTGGAGCAGATCTTGTCAGGGCTTTTAGTGAGACTTAATCATTGTACATGTAAATATACTATGATGATTCAATGACACATTTGTTATTGGTATGATTGTGGTTCATGCCCACATCGCTTTAAAGTCTCACGTGACTTTCTAGTGACGTAGAACAATGACGAAATAGAATTTAAAAATTAAACGAGACTTACCTAAAGTCGAAGTTTGATTGTAGTTCTATGAGTCATTGTTCAGGAACTAGGAAGTCACACCCACCCATGCAATTATCCTGGTTCATGTTGCCAATGTGAAAAGTCAAATACAGTGTATATATAGGCCCTCTCTATATAACGATGGGGATGTGGGCATTCACTGGCTTTAAATACTGATTGCTAGATCGCGCGCGCTCTATCTCACGTGACTTCCTAGTTCCTGAACAATGACTCATAGAACTACAATCAAACTTCGACTTTAGGTAAGTCTCGTTTAATTTTTAAATTAAACCTTAACCTAAATGACGTCACTGTGTTGCCCACGTATTGTTTACTGCAAGTTTTGCAAGTTACCAGATAAATCACTCCCTTTCAATTGCAGTCAAAGAGATGGTTAATATACAGGGTGACCTTTAGAAATCAAGCTATTGTTAAAATTTGAATGCCTTTTCAATTGCATTTGCACAAATGCTGAATACATTAGAAAATGAATTGACGTTTTGTACACAAGATTGTCTGCTCCTGGGAATTTGAAAATAACTTTAATAGCATAAGGAAAAATACCGACCCAAAAATATTCAAATGACTAAGCACACTACCAGAACCAAAATGGTTCAACTGACTTCGGAGCAAAGAGTTTTTGTAGTCTTAACTTATACCCAGCCTGCCGTCATCAGAAAAGCAGTTCGCGATATGCACAAGCGTACGGTAGTTTGTGTTGAGAGAAATGGAGGCCACGTTGGAGGTCATGGTCCATGACATTCAGTTTTTTTGATGTTCAATTTATCAGTAATTTTCAATCCGGATCGAAATGTCAAGTGAATCTGTGTCAGATCAAGTTGTAATTCATTCCTAACTCATGTAAACATTTTAATAGGCAGAGTTTGTAAAATGGGATGCTGAGCCATTCCGGATTCAAAGTCAATTCTAACTCATGTGAACAGCCCTGATGCTCGCACGCAGTGTTAAAAATTAATGAACAAATGATTTGTTCATGTTTTGAAGGAACAGCTAAAGCAATTTACCACGCATGCTGTTATCGCTTTTGTGCTTAGTCGTTTGTGCTTGGTCATTTGAATATTTTTGGGTCGTTATTTTTCCTTATGCTATTAAAGTTATTTTCAAATTCCCAGGGGCAGACAATCTTGTGTACAAACGTCAATTCATATGGCTAAAGGTCTCCTTTTTCTAATGTATGCATGCATGCCATCAATATTTCACGCACTACGGTTTAGCATATGTGCAAATGCAATTGAAAAAGCATTCAAATTTTAACAATAGCTTGATTTCTAAAGGTCTCCTTTTTTTTTATACACCCTGTAAAACTTACGCCGCCGAACCGTACTACAGGGTGTATCAAAAAAAACGCAACCACTTAATATTCATGAATATCCTCTTTGTTCTACAACACAAAAGACGTTTGGCCCCTGGAATGCGAGAAAGCTTGTACTGATCATATTCTAGCGGCACAATCGTCGGTAAACAAAGTCGGGTGCGTAAACCAACGAGCTGAATTGAAAGTATTTAACGAGTAAAATTTTATTTACAATTTATTTTACAAGGTCGACAGTTAGCATTCAAGTTATCATGCACGACAATAAAAACTCGTTGTTCGGTTGTTAGCTGCACCATTATTAGTTTAGCTGATTTGACTATTAGCAGTTGAACTGTACGATTAGAAGCCATTTTAAAATCCCAGGGGCATAAAATCTATTGAGCTTATGAACAATATGAATTTTAGAATATTAAGTGGTTGCGTTTTTTTTTATACAGGGTGTCTCAAAAAAAACGCAACCACTTAATATTCTAAAATTCTATATGTTTCATAAGCTCAATAGATTTTATGCCCCTGGGATTTTAAAATGGCTTCTAATCGTACAGTTCAACTGCTAATAGTCAAATCAGCTGAACTAATAATGGTGCAGCTAACAACCGAACAACGAGTTTTTATTGTCGTGCATGATAACTTGAATGCTAACTGTCGACCTTGGAAAATAAATTGTAAATAAAATTTTACTCGTTAAATACTTTCAATTCAGCTCGTTGGTTTACGCACCCGACTTTGTTTACGGACGATTGTGCCGCTAGAATATGATTACAAGCTTTTTTCGCATTCCAGGGGCCAAACGTCTTTTGTGTTGTAGAACAAAGGGGATATTCATGAATATTAAGTGGTTGCGTTTTTTTTTATACACCCTGTACACCCTGTATAAAATACTTCGCCTATCACAATAGAATCACAAACTTTACACTTTTTAGTACCACATTTAACCATCCCCTTAACTGAACATTCAACTTTGTGCAATTTAGCCCTAACCAGATGATCTCTAAGGCTTTTGGATCTTCGAAAACATACCATAGGCTGTTCAGGCATAACGCTCAAAAACTGCCCAGACAAACCTACAATATTTTGCAATTCCCTAAAAATACCATACAATTCACGCAAAGCTGGGTGAAAATCTATGACAAAA